TCAATAATAATAATAATAATAAATAAAGTACTTCAGTACTTGCATAAGTTAAAATAAATTTATTTAAAGTAGAGCTAAAAATTACTTCATATTTATTCTCTATTTCAAATTATAATTAGTATCCTATTTAATTAGTTTACTCATGCTAATATGAAATATATTTTTTGTAGTTTTTAAGTAAGTATTATAAATTACCATAGCGTTAGTACCTTATTATTGTTATCCAAAGACCGTGCTATGTTGTCGAAGGGTTTCAGTCGAACTCTCTTATAATAAAGGACAGAGAAGCCGTGTCCCAAAGACTTCCTCGAATACAACTTGGAAGGCGAAGACTCTGATGAAGTCTCTGTAAGAGGAAGATGCTTCGGCGCACCCACAGCGATCCTCATAGCCGTCTCGCCTGCGCCCATCAGACCATCGCTGACTGTCTTAAGCTCTTCGGGAGAACCGAGGTCCGGCGAAGAACAACCCTTGAAGGACATGCCGAGGAACCGCTTCCGCTTCCTCTTCAGTTCCGAGACGCAGCCGAGTGTGGCGTAGCGCTTATGACACATCTCGTTCATCTCTTATCTAACGTCAACGATATCGATTGTTAGTGATAACACTTATCTACCTGGTCCCCGAGTATCGATTCATCGAACCCAAAGGTATATAACCATTTTCAAAGAGGCAAAAAATGCTTTTATCGAAAATGTCAAGGGTGAATGGGAGTCGTTGACTCCGGACTACTCGGCCATAAGCGGCACTGACCCTGGTCATCGACTTAGGCGAAGACGAACACCCAGGCACGGCGGAGAGACCCGGCTCTCTCACCTGACTGGGCACACGAGTTAAAGAAACGGCGATGCCCACATTTGGACGAGGGGTTAGAGGGGGGCGCACGACTGTTGGCGGAAACATCCGAACGATTTCGCGGGCCCGCCAAGCAGCTGGGTCTGGAAGGTCGTTGGCGGGATTCGTGGATTCCCTTAGGGTTACTAGACCATACAGAAAAGTAAGCTAAGCATAACAAAGCAAGAGACCATGGATAACTAACCCATCCAATTGCATTTAAGATTTTTCTTGAGATCAGTTTTAAAATATTATCAAGAACATATAAGAAGAAATGACAAATGGATAAAAAAAAAAATATCGTTTTACTAAGATAAGTAACAGTAAGATAACAGTTTAAAAAGTTTATTGAAGAAAATAAAATTTCCCACATTCCTTACAACTTACAAGGATTGTGAACAACTAAAAAAAAAATAAACCAAAAAAACCAAGCTGAAAATAGAAAGTGGCCTGAGGCTATAATTAACAAGGAGATTTTAAAGGAGATATTATGTTTGGTTATCATAATAACCACAGCTATTAAATCTAAGAAATATGCAGTTTGTCAACGATTGTTAATAGCAAAAAACGCCACAAATGGCAATAACTAAACCATTAAAAGACTTATTAATGATGAATCAAAATAAAGAAATAAGAGCAACAATTACTAGAAGTTAATGCACTAGAAGCAAATGCAGAACAGGCTATTCAATGTACAATTTATATTTATAAATTATAAATACGTGAAAGTTTTTATATATAAAAGCTCTTATATCATTAACAAACACTCAGAAAATGTTCAACAAATAAGAGTAAAATTTAATAATTATTGCATTATTGATTTACTTTTATCAAATATTCTATATATATTTTTTTTTAATACACATCACCTCTTGCACTTTTTTAATACATATCACCATCCACACTGTAAAAGTCGGAAAAACGGAGTAGCTCATTGAGTAAGACACTGTCCTTCAATGCTTAAGGTTCAGGGTTCGAGTCCGGCTGTGACTGGTAATTATTTATTCTGTTGGACCGACCGTGGAATCAGTTGATCCTTCTGGGGTCTCTATGAAGTAGGTATTTCTAATGAAAAATAGTAAATTAAGAGAGAAAAACTAGCGGTTGAACGTAATCTCAGCACAACGGCCTCCTTGCACAACTGCTGGCCTTGAAACATTACTTCCTTACCAGGTACTGAACCCAAGACTAACTCTATGAGTTGTAGTGACAGAAGGTTTTAATTTTTTGGGGGAAAAAAGTCAAAATCTATAACGGGTTTGGTTTTTACATTCCAATATGCCTAGGTATACTTACATGCTTTTGCAGAATCGCTGTCAATATACAATGGACATTGAAACCAAAAAGCTAGTGAGGTAGATGAGGTAGAGGCTGAAGGTGAATTTCAATCAAACTGACCCATTATGAACGGACCTTTACGTTCGGAAATTGATTATAGCAATCCGTTCCATCAGCTGAGGACACAAGGACATCAACTTCAAACATTTAAACCCATTTTGTTATGCCCCGCAATAATTTACCAGTATTGTGGTACGAAATTGTGGGCTAAATTTAAATAATGTAAACTAATCCTTTATTTTAATTACCATCAAATTATTTTCCAACAGTAATTTTGGTTAATTATTTTCAATAATGAACCATTGTAATCGTCCGAAAAATTCAAAAACTTAAAGCCCTCTCAAAATTTGAGATTTTACGTTTCAGGGTTTCATAGAACACGAAAATCGATTAAAAATTGTTTGTCCGTCTGCCATCCGCGCGTTTTCTCCGAGACAGCGGGGTCGATTTTTTTTTTCTTCAAATTTGGAATCAAAGTCAGAGTTCACACGAGGATGATCCTCTTACATCGACATTACTATCTACCCTTTACTTTCAAGATGGTGACCAAAAAACCTATGTTGGTATAGACTGTAGTGCCTAAACGAATGTACCGATTTCAATGAAACATGACTAAAGTCGTCTTCTCGATGGCTTTTAAATTTATCTATACAACATACTTTAACGAAAAGAAGCCGGAAAAAAGTTATGAGAAGGTGGTAAAATTAAATTTCTGAATACCTCAAAAAGTAAACACTTTTTTGTGATTTTTATAATGGGATATTTCAAAAGTATTTAAATTTTTTTTTTAAATGAAGTTTAATCGAAATCATAGCACTATTATGGTTATTAAAACGTTTTTAACGAATTTTCCTTTAAAAAAATCGTTGAAATCGGACAATTCAGAGCAAAGATATGAAGTTCTAATACATAGGCTAAATCCTTTGTTTTGGTTTTTGATATTTGAAAGTGTTAAGAGGCAACGTTATTTTTCTTAGAAAATTAGTAATGTTGAAAAGTAATTACTTTTGTTAATTTTATATTTTCTGTATATATGGCGTGAATGTGTTCATATATCACTATAATTGTTGTCCACGTGACAGATTATTATATTTTTAAATTAATAAATTTTTTAAAAAAATCTTTAGTCAATTACCAAAAATAAGTGAGTACAAAAATCCGATTTTTCACATTCCTTCTGTAGATATGACAATCCTTAATAATAATAATCCTGATGATGGCCTGAACTTCGAGCAGATACGTCGGCGAATGTAAAAATAAATACAATTATTTATTTTTACAATTTTATTTTTTACCAATAACCCCAGCAATCCTTCTCTTCACATAATAATAATAGTTGATAATAATGAATCAAGCATAATTGAAAATACAACACTCGGCTGACAATGGGTTGCTTTCTCTAAAAGATAAAGGGACGAAGAAACAATACGCAAAATAGCCAATGAGATTGAGGATGACAATTGATGATTCGCCTAGTTATATCCTGTCTACAACGATTTTCAAAAGAAAAAAAAATGGTAATATGTTCTCATTCTTTGATTGTGTAGAAATAATGAAAACGATGACAAATACCGTGATTCCCGTTACTTTAAAAAAAAAATACATATTTTATTGTAATTTCTGCAGTAATAGGTACATCACAAATTAATAAATCCGGAGTCTTTTTCAGATTAGTCCCGTCAGTTATTTTTATACAGGAAAAGTATCAGTTATATTTGAATCAATGTTGTTATTTTCAATCTTATAAACATCTGTTAACAGATTCGTTTAGTTGGCTAAACGAACTCCGGGTTAAATAAGGAATAGAGGGTAGCCTTTAAGTTTCATCAGGAAGCTGGAATTAACCATAAGCAGCGCTTCTGTAATAAAGGACATCTAATGAAGCTCGTAAAAAGACCTGGAGCTTATGATAGGCGGAGGTGTTATATACGATCGTCTAGAAATGAGAAGGGAATACTCTCCAATACATTGTTAGATCATACATGATTACATTTCCATATTATTTATTTATTCCTAGTATGAGGAGTAGATTACTACGAAGTAACCTTTTTTGGCAGAGAAAATTTGTTAAGACAATACTACTAAATATCAAACAGCTTTGGCCAAGTTATTAACCTTCAAAAAATATGAATTAGATTAATTATCATTAAAGCTTTCGATATCATGTGTTTTTCATTAATCCGTAAAATGACAGATAATATTATAAAACAAAACAACTGGCGGAGCTAAATTCGCAAAGTACTCTAAATCCGAGAGGTGAAATAAAGGAACTTAAATTAAACAAACCGAATGTGGTTAAATGTGCATGCAAATATTTCTTTAAATTAATGCTTATATAAAACGACGTTTCGCCGCCGTTTTTGATTTAGTGAAAATAGTTCACGGTCTAATAAATAGCATTATTTATTTCAGTCCCTTTCAAGTGATAAGCAAGCATTTTACTGTTTGAAGATTATAATATTAAGACAACAAAAAAAAACACGTGTTTTAATATTAAGGTAGATTATAGGGATAACATATTTTCTTTATAATTTAGCTTTACGGTTTGAATTTTTAATTTTTTTTTTAACCTGAACTTGAATCCATTCAATAGTTTTCACATTATTTTTATTTATTTTTGTCTATAACACTTCTCATTTAAATGAGATTTTAATCGAAACCTTCTTATTTAGGTAAGTATTAACAGTTTTCAATCCATTTAATAAATTTTGTTTATTGTTTTCATATTTTATTTCTAATTGATACAAAACAAAATAACTAATCCAATGGTTTAATTTAAATTAAAACTAGAAAAAATAAATATAAATCTATTACGTAAATGTAAACACATGTCTTTTAAAGAACGATAAGTTAGTTATGTTAATTTTTTACTCGAAATTTTCGAAAATATCATCTGACACTTAAAGGCATCGCTTAAAACTCTGTACTATTAGCAAGCTTATATATATAACGAATAAGATAATCTCGAAATGGTCGAAATGAGAACCAGATTGGGAATTTCACCTACGAGGCGGAGATCGAAAAGAATAATAGCCAAGCAGCTCATTGAGGTGATGCAGGCGTCCGGATTGAAACGGGATGAGATTGACGAAATCATCAACAAGAGACTTGACATTTCCCAGGGACTGGAACAGGACTATTGGAAGAATCGACAGAGAAGGAAACTTGGGAATTGGTTGAAGAGCAGCGTCGTCTTCACGTTGGTCTTCGGCTCCTTCCTATTCATGGCACTAATGAGGATATGGATGCGCGGTACATGGAACGAATGTGAATGCCTCGAATAGTTTTTATGATTAGTAAATTATTAAAAAATTTTAAACATATAAATAGTAGTTTCTTCTACATTCCGTACTTGAAACTTTCATTCCTAATTTGAGTCTTCCTCCATCGATATTCTCAAGAATATAAGTAGTAATATTACAGTAGCTCGCAAAGGTAAAGCCGGTAACGATGCATACCCAAATAAACCAGCCTTTATAAGACCAATACTATCGTTCTTATGCACATTATAAACACCAAACATTATTGCACCAAAAGTTCACAATCCTTTATCCACTTCGAATACATTCTGATGTTAGTGCACACCGAATTAAATTTTATTATCTAAAATTCTGGTCGGATTTTTGTGACTTAATTGAAGAAACCCTTTAGTCATACACAGTTATAATATCCATCATCAATATTCGATTTCCACCAGTAAGCCAGCTCAAAGTGAGGGCGTTTATAAATGGCGCCCATTGATAGAGGATAGGCTTGTGCCCCATAAAATTTTATAATTGGAGGAGGATCTTTTCAAGCCAACACGAAACTGAACATCACGCAGATGCGAAAAATTTCAGCTTAATTTGGGAGGAGCACTCGTAAACAAAATTAAAAATCTACATTTTTTACGTACGAGAAAGCATATTTGCTAATATCAAGCAAACAGCTATTCCTACTTATTACTTCCTTAATATTTCCTCACTTCGACTATTTCTGTACTGTAAATGGGGGCGTCTCCGGGCATCTCGAGGCGAAACTAAAACGTTAGATAAATTGCTTTGTACGATTCATCTTCCGGATACCAAGAGACGCCTCTATTTTCCGTTATTATGAAGAGCTGATATGGCTTTATCCTTCCTACCGAAGTAAGCATTTCCTAGCATACTTCCTCTTCCAAGTCATCCAATTCCGCCGTCCTTCATACCTCTCCGAGCTCCTTCAATTCAAATCCTCTGTCCACCACGCAAAAACCGTTTCCAGTTTTCAAATTTGTACACAAGATCCCACCGAACCACTGCTTTCGATATATCTTTCATTATTCGATCCACAGCCTACATCCATCGCTTCAATACCCTACCCACCTTTAAATCCCGCCTGTTCAATCACCTCTTATCGGTTCAGTTCTTATTAAATTGTGAATAGATGTTGTAAATATGTAAATGAATAAGTAGTTCGTTTTAAATACTTTTATTTCATTTTTTTTTTCTCTTAATTGAAGATTGAAGATAAATCATATTATTTTCTTTTATTTATTCATTATATAAATGTATTTATTTTGTAATTATTCTCTGAGGTTCCAAAGCCCACATTTCTATCTCTGTACATTATTTTAAAGGGACTTGTCCCAGAATAAATAAAGCATTATTCTCATTATTTCTTTATTTTTCACATATAAAAGGGTGTTTATGTAATCTATTAGGTCAGCCAAAAATTAAATTTATATATTTTCATAATTCTTTATTATTTGTGAACTTCCTGACTATACTTGCTGTTCCCAACAACACCGCTTGTTGCATTCTTTCGACCATCCGAGATGGATAGGTCTAGTTGTCGCAGAGAAGATAGAGTTTCCTCCGGTATCAGTCCGTTGCATGATATCACAATTGGCAGAGTTAGTGTTTCCTTTAAATGATATAATTGTTTTATCTCTTCAGCTGATTCTAGGTGCTTTCTCTTTTTTTCCGCTACTACCTTGTATAGGTTATCATCAGAAGGAACCCCAATTTCCATGATAAACGCAGATTGCTTGCCTTTAACTATAATAAGAATGTCAGGCCTATTGTGGGGGATGGTGTGATCCGTCTGGATCGGTTCATCACTGAGCATGGAGATGATTGGTTCTGGATGGTATTTATAATACGGACAATATTTATCCACGAGTTCCGTTTTCTGAGCCATAGCTTGATCTACCTTAGCTGCATTTTTGTGTCTCTGCAAGTATTCCTTACTTGCAAGTATTATTATTATGATTTATTTTTTCAATTCTCAGTTTTATGCCGGATAAATTCACTGACCTGGACCGAGGTCAAGGGTAGAGTTTCTTGAATATTTAATTTGAAACATTAAAAAAAAATCGAACAATACTTGCGGTTTCCAGCGTTACCGCTTTCTGGATTTCCTGAAGTTCCCAGCGTAATCCAAGTACTTTCATTGGTTTTAGAGTATCTTCAGATATCGGGCCATTGCTGGATACGATAATGGTAATACTTTTACTTCCACCAGCCGGTATAAATGCCTTAATTCCTCGCAAAGCTCTTGATACTTCCGATTTTTTTCACTTAATTTTTTAGCCACATTATGATCAGCAGGTACTCCAACTCCGATAATGATGGCTTTTTTGTTTCTTTTTCAACGAGCAGTATATCTGGTATATTGTGGGGAATACTATGGTCAGTTATGATAGTTCGATCCCAGTATAGCTTGACATTCCATTTTTCTTTTAATATTGCCTGCGGCTGATCGCTATAAAACGGCTGATGGCCTGGTATTAATTTATATTGTTGTGTCAGAGCCTGATGCATGATTTATGCCGCATTATTGTGTCTCGCTAGGTATTCTTTACCCGCTAATGACTGGCAGCCAGAGGTAACATGTTGTATCGATTCATTTGTGGCTTTGCATAGACAACATCTGTCATCGACTGCTTCATGTAGAATATACTTCCTGTAGCAGGATGTCACCATTACATGTTCTTATGTTGCCGCAAAGAATCCCTCTGTCTCTGGGAACATTTTTCCTGTAGTCAAGCAACGGACCGAGGCTTCTAAATTTATAGCAGGTGTTTTCAGAGAATTGTAAAATCTTCCATGAAGTGATTTACACTTCCATGATTCTGTGAGGTTCTCCACAGTTGGTATTGTCATTGATCCTTGCCGAAGCATATTCAGTGCTGTATAGTTGCAGTCATGGGCAGCAACGGTCAACAGCACCGTTGAAGTACTATTCATGAAGAAATTTCTGAACCTGGCTTCTTGTTCACGGCAGCCCTACATTAAACTTATAAGTTCTCTACCTCCATGTTTTCTAGGCAAATATAGTCTTGGCACTGAAGAATTTGGGTGACGTTGCCGTGATTTTACCATTTCCCTTCTTAATAAGTGGTGTTATTATTTTATTAAGGAAAATCCCTTGTTTCACAACATTTTCTGGTTACAGCAAATTACCCGGACTTAAGTCAAGTGAAGGCTAAACAAAATAATCTATTGCATTCATAAATTTTCGAACAATACTAGATGTTCCAAGTAACACCGCTTTCTGCATTAGCTCCAAACAATTAATTCCTTCATGGAGCACATTGTTGTTATGTTCGGAATAAAACCATCATATTATTATTATTATTATTATTACTTATATCATAAACTACTTTGTAATGATCTGCGAGCTTTAATTTTATGCCCGATAAAGCTATTAGGTGCAATACAGAAACAGTCAATAAAAATTTCTGGCGGTGCAGTGATTCTCACAACTTCAGCCGATGAAGTTTTTTAGCATTAGGGTTTTCAACAGTATCATTTAATTTTGACACATTTGTGGCTTACCTTTCAATGGACGCAATTTTGTAACGTTAATCCGCCTCATGAACACATAAATAACTAGGATATAAAAGAGTTTGGATACCTTCCTCTATATTTATGTAGCTAAAGTTCGTATTGCTTATTTAAAAAAGAATATGATGCCGTAATATTTACTACATACATTCTATAAAATTAAACTGTACACTGCAATAAATTCCAAAATGTTTTCATTCTTCGTTTCTGCAGGAGAAACACCAACTGACACCCTAAACATTGAACTAATGTGACGTGGAGTACAGTTTAATATTCAAAGATAAAACAGAAAAATTACAAATCGTGTATGACGCATCTTGTTAAATTATGCTTGAAACAAAAGAAGAACGAGTGTAAGTCCCTAATATCTAGTTTAGTATCATAAATAAATAACAAACATCGTATTTAATTATTGGCTCATTTTAATCATGATACACGGGACTTTATATATTAAGCTCTTACTTCTATTGTGCCGATTACGCCACCTATATCCGTAGGAGAAGAGATAGAGATAGATAACTAGATAAATAGTATCATTTAGAATCGCACAAAAATAAAAAAATATTTACAAATTTTGCAGTAATAGCAGGTAAAATCTATGTGCCGATCTGTCTCAAAATTATCTAATGAAAGAATAGAATATTTTTTTAATGGCTTCAACGATTTGGTCGTAAGTCAACCAAAACTCTTCTTATGACTCTTCCTCTCAAAACTCTTCCTATCATAACTGGTAAAAAGTCCCAAAGAATCCCATGTCGGGTTTTGATGGGGGAGAGAGGAGAAAATAACAGAAAACTGATATTGTTTTAGTTTTTTAGAATATCTCAAAACTATGAGTTTTTTTCCCAAAGATTGTTGTACAGTAGTAAAGAGCTTTAAAATCTCTATAAAAATGATCATGTAATTTTTTTTTTCCAATCAAGGGTTACGAAGATATTTATGAGATTATGTTTATTGCGTATCCACTTTAACAAAAAAATTCTTCAAACCACCAAATTAATGTTGTTCATCCTTTTTGGAGACTTCAATGCTCGAGTGAGCCGAGGAATCAGAAGTCGAGTTGTTGGACAGCAAGGAGAATGTGTTGTAACAGATAACGGAAGACTGCTAAATATCTACGAATCCTTCGATCTGAAGATTCAGAACAATTTTTTGTGCAAAAGAGGATCCACCAAGACACCTGGAATAAACCAGTCATTCCAGTCATCAATATTAGATTAGATTATATTCAAGCAGGAGAGCACACTCAGGACTGAAGATGTGCGTGTTTTTAGAGGCTGGAAGTGCAGAAGTCGCCACCATATGCTACGTGCCAAGATATACTGTCCTTGCACTATGGGGATGAGCCGGCGTGAGGTGAAAGAACGACAGAGTTGGGTATCATTCATCGTTATAAACCAGATTTGCTGAGGGACGCAAGAGTCCGTTACCTGCATCGAGAATGGCCTTCTGCACCGAGGACGCCGGTGATCTTCGTGTCGACTCTCAGAGCTGTACAAAGGTAGATGTATTTAA